CCGGGCGCCGCCGTCCCGCGGGGCTCGGGGAACGACAAAGGCGGCAGAAACGAGTGTCGTGAGCGGCTGCTCGCCCCGGCATCGCCCCCGTGGCCCCGTGCAAACCCCGCGACGGGCAGCGGGAGCTGGGGCGGTCCCGAGCTGCAGCCGGGGGACGAGGGAGCCGGAGCTCTGCCCGCCAAGGCCCTGCTGGGAACCCCCCGTCTGCCCGTGCGTGGGGCAAGAAGAAATAACCCCCAAAGCTCCGTGCGATGCCCGGGGGGCCCTGTTGCCCGCGGCCCGGCGCTTATCTCCGGGCGCTGCCGTGTGTCGCCACCTGATAAGGCCGCCCAGGCTCCCGCCGCGCTTCCCGGGCGGAAGGGCTGCTCCCGGGGAGCGCGGCGCTGCGGGATGGCGGGCGGGCACATGGAGCCGAGGAGGTGTCCTGGGAACCCCCTTTCCCACGGCTCCCCCCAGCTCCGCGTGGGACGAGCAGGGGTGCTGCCCCCTTCCCGGTGTCCCGCAGCACCGTCACCGCGCTCGGAGAACGGGACACGGGAGGAGAACGGGACACGGGAGGTGTCGGGAGACGGTGGCTCCACGTGGGACCTCTCTTTCTCACCTCTCCCTTTTCCTTCACGTTTTCCTCCAGCCAGAAAACTCCCTGCCAGGCCAGGCTGGGAGACGCTCCCGGAGCCTTTGGGAGCTCCCGTTTCCTGTGCGAAGTAGTAGCCAAAACAAGAGACCTTTCCTAAGGGCAACAAGACAAGACAACTACTTTTATATATGCGCTTAAGTATTTAGGTCAGTATTTTTAGAATAAATAGCCGTGGGTTGGTTCCTATCTTTTTCGCTTTCATTTTTCACACTTGAGCTTCGTTTCCCTGAATCTGGTGAAGAGAAGAAGCCATCGGGATTTTTCCACAGCGCCGACACCTACCAGCGCCCCGACCTCGGCGGCTCTGGTTTTTCCAGGCTCGCCTGTCCTCTTCTTCTCCGAAGAGCTATTATGACAATTACAGGCTAAATCCAGCCGGATCCGCTGCACTGGAGATTCCCTGACAACGGAAAGGGAGAGGCTGGCGTGGGAAGGGAGGGAAAGAGGGACGGGATGATGCCCCGGCCCCAGCGCGGATGGCGGCCTTGGCGCCGGATGGGGGACACAGGGAGAATCCCGTGTCGGTGCCGGCGCTCCCGAAACGCCGGGAATGGCCGTGTGCCCCTGTGGATGGAGCCCCCGTCCCCGCTCTGCCACCGCCTCAGCCCACGAGGCGCCTGGTGCCTTGTTTGGGCCCAGGGCTTTTTCTGGAATCACCTGTCCATGTTTCCCCTCCCGCTCCGGCGGGATGCGCACCCGGAGCCGCCTGTGTCTCCGTGTGCAAATTCAGGAGAGCCTCGGAAACTCCTGATGGGTGGAAGGAGGCAAGGGGGCCTTACGGGGAGCTCAGCGTAATCCCTCATCCACCTGGATGCTGCTCCATGCGGGAGCAATCTAAACCCTCTTTTTGGGGAAAAGGGAGAATAAAATCCTTGTGGAAATGGAACAAGGGGATGGGGACCAATGGGGACTAACCCAAGGAGAGGAAGGCGGAATGCCCAGCTCCGCTGGAGCGGCTGGGATGTGCTGCGGATGGCGGCGAGGCTCCGAGCGGGAAGCAGCATTCCCGCCGGGATGCGCACGCCGAAGCCGCCTGCACTGTGGCACCCGTGTCCCAACAAGCAGCTCGTCCTCCCCTGCTCAACGGCCACTTCCCCGCCCGGAGTTATCCACGGATAAACTCCATAAATCTGGGAGCGCAGCTAGTTTTATTGCTCCTGGTGGGTCTGTGCATTGAAGGCTGCAAGGCGATGCCAAGGGACACGGGAGCAGCTGTGGGAAGGAGCTGCCAGGAGAGCAGGGGCACCAGGGTGTCCCTGGAGGATCCGTAGGGATCCCGGATCGCCACCACTCCGAAGCAGGGGCCACATCCCGCTCCTGCCTCCCCGCTCCTTCCCGGACACTGGAGGGAGACACGAGGGAGCCGAGGGCTTATCCACAGGGACAGCAGGGAGCCACCCCCTCTATGCGCCGCTTCCACAGGTGATTTACGGCGCAGCGCGATTCCAGCCGCTTCTGCTGCATCATTCCCGGCACTGGGCCTTGGGATGTGCGCTGGCGAGGCCGGAGTGCCCGGCGCGAGCGGGAGCCACGGGCACCGCAGATCCAGCCCAGGTGGATCCAGCCCATGTGGATCCCACCCATGCGGATCCAACCCATGCGGATCCAACCCATGCGGATCCAGCCGGGATGCGCATCCCCAGCGCCACACATCCCGTTTGTTGACTCCTGCCCCAGCTCCTCATGACTCCGCATCCCCTTTGTGCTCCGCCTCGCCAGGCCCACGGCATCCCGGCTGCCTGAAACCCCCTCTTTTTCCACATGCTTTTCCCATTTTGCACTAAAACTCCACAGCTTCTCCAATGGGCGCCCCGGCTCCGCCGTGTCCCGCTCCGTGCCCGTTGCCCATGGCTCCCCGCCAGCCTCCCCCTTCACAGGGGGAGTGAGCAGAAGGAATCACCACTAATAAGAAGCTGATTATTATTATTATTATTATTATTATTATTATTATTATTATTATTTATTATTATTATTATTATTATTATTTCCCAGGTTGTTCTGTTCTGATTTCCCTTTTTTCCCTCCCCACAAGGAGCAGAACGCGCCATTTCCACACCTCAGCAGCTGGGCTGCACGTCAATGAACCGTGGCCAGACGGCAGCTCCGGGCCCGAACCGGGAACCAGCAACGGGAATTCCCCGGGAATAGCTCCCAGCTCCGGGAATAGCTCCCGCCGGGGAGCCGGGCGGCTCCGCAGGCTGGCAGGCCAGGAAAGGGGCACCAGGCCATGGGGATAGTCACGGCCAGGCCTCGTCGCCCTGCCCTGCTGCCCGTTTATCCCGTCTGGAAAAACACCTGGAGTTTTTTTGAGGCGTTTGGAGGCTTTTTGGGGAGCGGCCTGCGCTCATTAAATCTCACAATTAACAAAACTGTGTTGTTTTTTGGTGGGGAGGCTCCCGCGGTAAATCCTGGGCCAGGCTACAGCGGCTGCTCGCTAACGTTAGCGAAAACGGGAGAAAAACGGGGCTTTTCCGTCAGCGCAGCACGGCGTAGCCCGACGGGGCGGCCGGCGCCCCGCCATTTCCCCCGGGGGCTTTCGGCGGCTCTCGCCTCGCACCACACCGGCGTCCAGGCCGCAAGCCGGGGAACTCCCGCTGAAAATAGGAACAAAAAAAGACGGAAAGGAAAGGGAAAAGGGGTATTTATTTGTATTTATTTTTAAATACAGCGGTGCGCACGGGGGGGGC